TACCATAATAATATTTCATATTATCAGTAGCACCTTAGTTCACAGTGTGAATCTTTATTCTGTGTGATTCAGAATGCCAATTTTCAAACAAAAACATGTATTTCATGAATCTACTGAGGAAATAGGCTGTTTTAAAATGGTGTTACTAAGGCCACCAATCTACTAATTATAGTATTATCTCTCTCTTAGAAATGTCAAAATCAAACATTAGAAAATGTGCATAGATCAAAATAGTGAAGTAATTTCAAAAATTACTTTTTAAAAGAGACACTGGGTCAGAGACATTTTTTCTCTGCCCTTTATAGTATAGATGTTAAGATTATATCGTAAAACTGTGCTATGCTGTAGTCTCTTTTGTTGTATATGTGCAACAATAAAATATTCTTTCGATGAAGCTATAATATTTTACATATTAAAGCCTAGTATTAAAAAATGTGATGTACTACAAAATTCACATTTTTAAAATACATAACACAAGGGCACTTGGTACATTTACAGTGTTGTCTACTATGTAGTTCCACAACATATTCATTATCCCAATAGAATCACAAAAAATGTGGCCTTTTGGTCTCGCTTATTTCAGTTAATATAATATTTCTAAGGTTCATTAAAGTTGTAGCATGTATCAATACTTCATTCCTTTCATGAAGAATATTCCGGTATATGGATATACACATTTTGATTACCCATTTATTCACTGATAAATCCACACATTTGAGCTATTTTCATCTTTTGAGAATAGCATTGACAGAAATATTCCTCTACAAATTTTTATTTGAACACATTTCCAGAATTCTTTTGGGTATATACTTAGGGGTAGAATTGCTGGGACACATGATAATTCAACACTTAACTTTTTGAGAAACTGCAAAATTATCCTCTATAATGGTTGCACTGTACCATTTTATAATGATTCCAGTAAAGTATTAGGGTTCCAATTCCTTCACATTTTCCTAAACATCTGTTATTGTCCCATTTTTAAATCATAGCTATTTTAGTGAATGTCTGTGGTTTTGATTTGCATTTCCCTAATAATCAATGATATTTAGCACTTTTTCATGTACTGAATAGCATTTGTATAACTTCTTTGTATAACTGTCTATTCGAGTACTTTCTCCACATTTAAACTGGGTTGTCTTTTCATTATTGAATTATTATAAGAGTTTTCATGTATCTGAATACAACACTCTTACTAGATTTATGATTTACACATATTTTCTCCTACCCTGTAAGTTATCTCTTCACCCTTCTAACAAGCCTCTTTTGATGCCCAAAGGTTTTTAATTTTGATTAAATTGAATTTATGCATTTTTTCTTGTGTTTTATATGTTTTTTGGTGTTGTATTTAAGAAACCATTGTCAACTCCAAGGTCTTTAAGATTTGTCCTTATATTTTCTTCTAAGAAAGTTTCCTCACTTTAGCTAGACATTGGTGAGGATTTTGCATGTATATTTATAATGGATACTGGTCTGTATTTTCTTTTCTTTCTTAAGGGTTATTGATATCTGAGTAATACTGGCCTCACAGAATAAGTTAAAAGGTGTTCCCTCCTGTTTTCTGAAAGTCTTTGAGAAAGATTGGTGTTAATTTTTTAAATGTTTGGTGGGAATTACAAGTGAGGCATTATGTCCTCTGTTGGGAGTTTTAGTTTTTTTTACAGATTCAAACTCTTTTGTTTGTTATAGGTCTAATCAGATTTTCCTTCTTCTTGAGGCAGTTTTCTATTTCTGGGAATGTGTCCATTTCATTTAGATTATCTAATTTGTTGGTAATAATTGTTCATATTTTTTAAGAACAAAAAAGCAACATCCTCATTTTTTTCTGATTATATTTATTGGGTATACTTTCTCTCTTTTCTTCTGTTTAGTCAACAGCTTGTTAATTCTGTTCAATTTTTTTGGAGAACCAACTTTTTGGTTCTCTATCCTCTGATCTTTATTTTCTTCCTTCTGTTAGCTGTGGTGCTAGTTTGTCCTTTTTTTTAGTTCTAAGGTATAAAATTAGGTTGCTGATTTGACACCTTCTTTTCTAATGTAGGTTCACAGATACAAACTTCCTTCCCAGCACTGCTTTTGCTGCATCTCATAAGTTTTATACACTGTACTTTGTTGTTATTCATCTCAAAATGTTTTGCATTGTATTTCCTTCTTTGACCCACTGGATGTTTGAGTGCCACATTTAATAAACATGAATTTGTAGATTCTTACAGTATTCCTTAATTTCTAGTTTTATTCCATTGCAGTCTAATATGATTTACATTTTTCTCAGTTTACTGATGATTGTCTTAAGGCCTAACATATGGTTTATTCTTAAAAAAACTCCATGTGCACTTGAGAAGAATGTGTATTATGCTAATGGTGGAAATGTTTCGAGTGTTTTAGTGTACATCTGTTACATCTAGTTTTATGTTGTTGAAGTCCTTTGTTTCTTTATTGATCTTCTATATGGATTTAGCACAGGTTTTTTTTTTTTTTCATTTTTAATTTATTTTATGCCTGGTATCATCTGTTCCCAAGGTGATAAAGGCTTTGACTAAGATCAGACAAGGATTTCAATAATGTACCTTTACCACCAACATGAAGGCCCAGAGTATGATTGGCATTACTTTAGTCAGTGTGAAAAGTCATACCCATGATGTAAATGGCTCTTCCCTCTGTCCAAATTACACACTTTCCATGTGCTAGTGTCCTTATTTGTACTTTGGCAAGTCTATCCTTTGAGTTAATGAAGATGGTGGTACTGAAATGTATTTCTATTACTGGGTATCCCTTTAGAATTTCTCTCCTTTACAACTGTGAGAGTATGCATGACATTATTCTTTTAACTTCTTGTTTTACATAGTTGCATCTTCTGGTGGTTGTATTTTTTTTTTTTAATTTAATTCTGTCCATACTGTTTAGTTTTATTAGCCAGTCAGAGTTGTTGTTTACTTCTGGTTAGTGAACTAAACTGACAAATTTTAAATTTAGCTACCCAGCTACTACTGTAATGATGATGTGTACCAACTTCAAAATATCAGAGGCTTACAAAAATAAGCACAATTTTTTCCTCATGGGTCTATGGGAAGCTGTTTCATAATGCCAGATGGTTCCATATTTGCTCTAGTATTTCTCATTCTGGGGCCATTAGCTATCTAGGACATGCTCACCTTACCGCAGATGATAGAGCACAAGAGGTCAAGTCAAACCAGGTAAAACATTTAAAGCTTCTGCTGGTGTCACACTTGCTAACATCACACTGGCCTAAATGAGTCACAAATAAGTCCAATGGGATAGGAAAATCTCCCTCCATTAGAGGGGATGAGGAGTGTGAATACCTGCTACACAGTAACACCATCAACCATAATCTAGCAAAATCAGACACTCAGGCACAATGTAAATAGTTTTTCAAAAAGATAAATTTATTTAAAGGACCTACTCTGAAGCTAAGCCCTTTATTTTAAAAGGAATTATGTCCTTTCTTTTATGAAATGATGATAATGAAAGGCGATAACACTTAAAATTCTTATTGTTTAATAAAAAAAAAAAAGCTGGAAATCACCAAGATTTTTGGAGAAATTTACTAGTCTATAAAAAAACTTCAAACGTCTACTACAAGAAAAAAAATAATCATAGACCTCTGAGTATTCCTATGTCTCCCTGGCTGTTATTCACCATTCACAGGTTATTCCTTGGCTTGCAAATACTCCCATTTCCTCCCTTTTCAAGTTTTATTATTCCAAATGCTTGTGATTTGAAATATCCATGTTTTAGAGAACTGAAATGCCAATATTTATATCTAGTGAATTATTACCTTGAAAATGAGCCATTTTAAGGTCTCTATACAAACTTGGTTTTATAAATACTGGGGGACCTAAAATTTTAATGTCATATAAATCTTTCATCTCCCTGACATAAAAATTTTAACAGGCAGTGCATACATAAAGAATAATGGCCTATAATTCTGAAACTTTAAAAAGGTGAGCTCTATAAAGATAAAAAATTATAAAAAAGTATCCAGCAATTTTACTATTATATCACTATTAATTATATCACTATTAATGATATTTAATAGTTTTTAAAATATGTATATAATAATTAATAAATATTAATGATTTTGACAAAGCTTTTTCAATTATTTAAAACTATGCAAAACAGCAGAGCAGTGTCTTTTGATCACAGTATTGATAAAGCCAATGAAGAAATTGGTACTCCTCTAATGACTGATTATCTCATTTCACTCCTGACTTTTCAGTTTATTTCCACCTCCTACTCTTGCTCTTCAGCTTGTTTTTGTGATATTCTCCAGCTTTAGGAACTATTAAAATGTTATAGCTACATCATCCATTCTAGACTAGGGGGTAGGATGGAAGAACATGATACTGAAATGTATTTGCAGAAAACCTTATATAAAGACTTTTGAATTTGTCAAAATACCAAATTTTCCATGAGTCTCATGTAACAAGTTGAGATTTGCAGTTCATTATTATACATTTATTTAAACATGATCTGTGATATAACTTCATAATATTATCGATAATGGTCTTTTTTTGTTCTATTGATCTTGCCCAATATTGGATCTAATGTATATTTAAATTTTACAAAAGTGTACATCTAAAATAAGAGGCAGAAAGATATTCACAAAGTTAATGAAAGTTTCCATTAGCTGGGATGAAAACTGACTTCACTGATTTTGAAAATCACGTTGGTGCCAAATCTCTGATTTAAATAGAATGTATCGTTTATAATAATTTGTGCAATTTATATAAATGTTGAACTTAGTCTATTTTTTTCAAAACTTCACATCTGCATGTACATTTTTTTAAAGTTGTAGATGGATATAATAATTTTTAACTATTTATTTTTATGTGGGCTGAGGAGCGAACCCAATGCCTCATACTTGCTAGGTAAGCACTCCACCACAGAGCTACAACCCTAGTCCCTATCTAATTTTTAAAATATATATTCTCATTAAAATAAAAGGAAAATTTATAAATGTGGTTATAACATAAGCCACATACCTGCAGGTATGATCATCACTCACACTTGCGATTTCTCGACCTTCTTTGGGATCAAATGCCAAACCATTAATGAAATCTGAATGACCCTCTAATACCTGACAAAATGGGAAATTTAATAAGAAAACAGGAAAATAATCTACAATATTCCTATCAAATATATTTACTTCTCTGCGCCAAGAGATTTCAATGCATGTTTCTTTTTTCTATAAATATTTCTTTGGCAAGCTGCTATTTTTAAAGCATGATTTATACACCTACTTTTTGGGAAGGTTTGTCTTGGAAAGAAGTTAGTCATTCAACACACTGCTTATTAGCTTAGTCTAACTTTTCTCGTATGCATTTCTTCCAAAAACATGCATACTTTTTTACTGTACCTGTCCTTGTCTCACCTCCTTTCTCATTTATCACATGCTAAAAAACCTTTTAGGGGTACGGGGATTGAGTCCCTCTAAGCTTTTTACCTTGTTATCTAGTGCTTTTCACACTTATTGCTTAATATACATAATATGAACTTCACCTTCAAATGTTTTCCTTCTCTTGCTCAATGTAACTGCCAGCACTGGAGACAGTATTATAAGCCCAAAGTCACAATCAACACAGTAATCCCCTTCTGACCATAGAAGGAACAAATGGGAAGTTGTAAGCTGGAGGACAATCTTGTGAACAGGCAAGATTCCATTTGTCAAAATCTTTATAGTTGAAGTCCCAAATAAGCCTGCCAGATATTTGAATATTCAATGGATTTTCTTCCTTCCTCTCTCCTTTCCTTCCAAAAATTTGAATTTGATCTGTTTACTATATAGAAATGCATGATAAAAAAGGGGAAAAAAAAAGCATTTCCATGTAATATTAATAAACCCAACTCCTCCAAATAATTCTCCAATGCTTCTCCTCTGTTCTGAGACAAATCAACATTAAATGTTTAATATTTATCATAATGAGCATATTAACTTTCAATAGGTAAAAATTTTATGTGTTATTTATACATTTAGTTATTCATGGTAGAGCCTTAGATTAATCAATATGTACAATACATTATCCCTATTACACACAGCTTAAAGCATAATTTTCACTACTTTCTAAATGATTGGAAAGGTTTACCTTTGCTTTATAACATATTTTTAATTTGCTAGAAAGTCAAGAAGGCAATACCATTCTTATAAGAAAATGTGAAAACAATTTCAACCCATCCTGAGGGCTATTACATTACCAGAAAATGTAATATATATAACCCTATATAAACGTATATAGGGTTATTATGTATTAAGTACCATTCTGTTTTACATGAATTAGTTCAAGCGATGCTCATAATTCTATGAGGGAGATGCTATGATTACCTTTTTCCTAGAGATTAGGGTAAGAGTTTACAGAGATTAGATTACTTGACTAAGGTTACACCATTACTAAACTATGGTTATACCATTATTAAACTGTAGAGCTGGGCTTCAAATGCAGGGGTGTTGGCTCCTGTGTCTGAGCTCTTAACCACTTTAGAAGCCTGTCTGGGTTTGCTGCCCTTACCATTTGTTCCCTTGAGTTCAACTCTTACTCCAAGTATGTTTGCATCCATTTTATTTTTACTATACCTGACTATGATTTTGACATTTTCTTATTTACTGTTTCTACCTCATATTTTACTACTAAATGATATCAGATTTAGAATCTTCAGTCATTACTAAGAACCTAGTTACTACCGTATATAACAGAATAAATGAGTCCCTAAATCACAAACTTTGAAGATGACCATAAAAACTCATTTCAAATTAGGATAAATAACTTAAAATAAAAATAATAACATGTTTTAAAGTAAATTCTGAATATTTATGAATTATACTTGTCAACATACCTTATATTCATTTTTATCTTGAAGATCTGAAGTAAATAATCTAATTTTCATATCAATAGCTGAAGTACAAAATCTGGAAGCAAAAAAACCCAAACAAATCCATTTTTAGCCTCTGTAAGTAAAAGTCTTCCCTTCCTATTGTCCCTCCCTCCAATTTTCACTGGAATGTTTTATAATTCATAATCATGCTTTTCCTGAGGATGGGAAGGAGAATGTTGTAGCTCTGTTGTAGGAAAGATTATATGCCCATTAAAGCACATAGGAGGCAAATTAAATATTTTATTTTGAAAACACATAAAATGTTACCACATTCTGGATTTGTCTCTTCAATTATAAATCAGTACATGTATGCCTGGTGTTGCTCCACTTTTCTTTGAATCTTTTCTACTTTAGGAGCATTTAATCCATCTCTTAATTAAATCAGAAACCTCAGAGAAGTAAAGTAAGGTGAACAATTTATTTTCTAGCCACTATGAAAGGAAAGCAAGCAAATGGAACATGAAAAAGAAAACGTCTAAAGAGAAAGAAAATAAACTCAAGATAATAACACGCTAAAGAGAATCCATCAAGAAGAGCTGCTTTTTTAAAAAAATATTTTTAAGTTGCAGACGGGACACAATATCTTATTTACTTATTTTTTACTATGGTTCATTAGGATTGAACCCAGTGCCTCACATGTGCAAGGCAAATGCTCTACCGCTGAGCTATAATCCCTGTCCAAGAAGAACTTCTTTTTAAATGTAAGATAAATGTTAATGATGGTTAAGAGCGATGCCAAGTTACACCTTACTTGCTATGTAGTTATGAATGTACTTATTTTGGAACACTATGAAAAAATATAAAGTAAAGAAGGCTACTTTAATTTTAATCACAATTGCCCACAATTATGTATAAAACAGTGAACGGGACGTATAAATGGATTCTTTCTTTTCATATTACTGCGTTTCCTAAATTTTCAATGTGTTATTTTTCACAAGAGAACTATGTAATTTATTTGGAAAGGACAAAGTTATGTCATTAGGTTGCTGTGAAGATATTCTTTAACTTTTTGGCAGTATGGGGACTGAACCCAGGGCATGCTGCACAAGTGTTCTAGCACTGGGCTATACCTCCAGTCCCAAAATATTAACTTTAAAATTAACGGCTGGTTAATATTTTCTGTATTACTTTCATTTGTATAGTTCCAAAAAGGATTTGAATAGCTTATCATAAATAAACAAAAAAAACCCAAAGTGATGAATTGCAGCAAATTCATTAAAAGGAGGCAAACATGCACTGAGCAATGAAGGGAATGATCACAAGATATAAGCCCTTGTACAGACGGCTTCAGCAGGCATTACTGTCTCAACTAAATTTAGTTTTTCAGAAAGTTGGATTTTCAGTAATTAAGGTGGCAAAATAAGAGAAGAATCTGTGAAGACTTCAAATTACTCATATGAATTTCAGGTAAAGATCTTTGTAGTTTGGATCAAACACATGGTCAAGTCATCACTGCCATGACTGCATATTTAAATCACAAATAAATATGATAATCCTAATTTAATAATAGCAATGTCAAAATATGGAATCATCTAGAGTCATGGAAAATGGGCACGGAGGAAACAGTCTCTACAATCAGACGTGTCATCATTTAACATAATCAGAGAACATTATTAAATACTGCATTTGAAACTTTAAACTTACTTGATTACTGTAGGCAATGAATCAAGTCTAGTCTCTGGGCTCCAAGCTATGCCATCAACCCTGATTCCATGGTGAAATGTTCGAAGGGTTTTATATTGAATTCCTTCAATGTCTGCTTCCTCCTCCTAAGCACATACAATAAATGTTTTAACACGTTTGGAGGACAAATAAAACAAATATTCTGAATTTCATTATAATAAAAAATTTATCAGGAGGCCACGTAAATATTTTGGAGACTGAGATTAAACTAATTTATAGATTAAGCCATAACAAAACCAAAGTTGTTTAGGCCTTACAAAATAAATCCCTAACACAACTAAAATCAAGCAGTAAATGTGTATGGTTTATTCTAGGAAACATTTTACTTTTAATAGTAAACATATTTTATAACAAGTTCAAGAAAAAAGTTACGTTTTTCAAAATCAGAACATTCTAAATAAATGAATGATTATACATGGACTATCAACTTGATTATATAAAAATGTACATAAAGTTTGGATTAGATATTTTGGGGCCTTAAAATGCTTCAAAGTCTTTATAGTGAATGTCAGTGATTTTCATGTGGTATGTAAAATGTGCCATAATAGGGCTGGGGTTGTGGCTCAGTGGAAGGAAGAGCGCTTGCCTAGCATGTTCAAGGCACTGGGTTCGATCCTTAGCCACCACATAAAAATAAACAAAATTGTGTCCAATTAAAAAATAAATATTTTTTTAAAAAAGAGGTACCATAATAGTTCACGAAAAGCGAAATGCAAATAATATTCAAATTAATTTACTTTTAAGATTCTTTTTTTTTTTTTTTTGAATTTCCAACATTTTTTATTTGTTAGTTCTCGGCGGACACAACATCTTTGTTGGTATGTGGTGCTGAGGATCGAACCCGGGCCGCACGCATGCCAGGCGAGCGCGCTACCGCTTGAGCCACATCCCCAGCCCACTTTTAAGATTCTTAAAAAAAAATTTTTTTTGGTATCAAGGATCAAACACTGGAGCACTTAACCACTGAGCCACATCTCCAACCCCTTTTCATGTTTTGAGACAGGGTCTCATTAAGTTGCTTAGGGTCTTGCTAAGTTCTTGAGCTGGTCATGAACTTGGGAGCCTCAGTCGCCCAACTTTCTGTGATTATAGGTGTGTGCCCCTTTGCCTGGCGCTCTTAGATATTTGATTCTGGGTATATATGCTCAGTAAAGTCAGCTTACTTACCTAGCTCTGTCTTACTAAAATGACTTCAGTTTATTATCATGGAAAGGTAAGAAGAAACTGAATTTTAAAAGTCAAGCCACCTATCTCTAATAATGTGGACAATAACTTAAGAAACTCTTCCATTACAGAAATAATGAAAAAAGACAAACCCAGAGAAGCAACTGTGTAGCAAAGTGTGCAGAGTCAGGTCTCATTTGCCCACATCAAATGACTTAAAGCTCTGTTTGCAAGAACAGGAGACAAAGCTCAGTACCACACAAGGAAGGACATCATATCAAAGATCTCTACATAGACTGAAGGCCCTTAAGGGGGAAGAAGAAAAATAAACAAAAAAAGAAATACCATGCAAAATACCCAACATGAGTTGAAGCCAGGAGAAAGAAAAAGCAACTTTAGAGCAAAATCAAGTTAATAGTCTATGTATAATCATGAGTCTGGGACTTGAATTCACACTAAATATGCAGTCCAAAAAAAAATGACAAAGAAAATATTTCAAAGTGGTCATATGTTGGTAGTGGCCTCAAGCACCTGACAGAAACAAAGGCAATTTTCTCTTGGATGAGCAACTCTACCCAGGCCTCAAAAAGTTCCCGAAGATATAGTCCAATCAAACACAATTTTGTATATATATGCACTTCACATATGCAAATAAAGTACTACAAACAAAAGCAATAAAACAGCAGACTTGAACCTACAAAGACATCAGATTAAAAATAATTATTGCAGCAGAATGTGGTAGCATGTCTGTAATTCTAGTGACAGAAAGAAGGATTGCAAGTTCTAGGCCTTTGCAATTAATTTGGTAAGGCTCTGTCTCAAAAAAATAAAAGGGCGGGAGATAGAGCTCAGTGATAGAGTGGCCCTGGATTTATTCAATCCCTAGTACTTCAAATAAATAAAGAATAATCACAGTGGTACATGCCTATAATTACAACTACTTGGCTAGAAAGATGGCAAGTTCAAGGATAGTCTGGGAAACTTGGTGACACTGACTCAAAATAAACTAAATAGACCTATAATCAAATCAGCATGATATTAGCATAAAAACAAACACACTGACCAATGGAACAGGATTCAAAAATCCTGAAATAACAAATTAATCCATGCATTTACAGACAATTGATTTTTTTTATAAAGGTCTGAAAAACATGCAATGGGTTAAGGACAGTGACAGTTTTTTTTAATAAAGACGAATATCCACAAGCAGAAGCGTGAAATCAAATTGTTATTTCATACCTTATATATACATCAACTCAGATTAAAGAGTTAGATGTACAACTTGAACTGTAAAACGGCCAGAAGAAAACATGAAGGAAAAGCCCCACAATACTAGTCTGGGCAATATTTTGAATATGAACTCAAATGCAAGGGGACAAAAGCAAAAACTGGACTATAAAATTCCTCTGTATCTCAAAAGCTTTTACAAAGCAAAGGAAACAAGTGTGAAGAGAACCTATGAAACGGGCAAAAATATTTGTAAACTATAAATCTGATGAGATCAATATCCTAAATATATGAGAAACTCAAGAGCAAAAAAATAAAAAGCCCAATCAAAAAATGGGTAAAGGACCTAAACGACACACAATGGCCAAAAGGTATATAAAGAATGCCCAGTAGGCAAACTAAAATCACAATAAGATAGCACCTCACATCTGATAGAATGGCCATATCAAAAAGAAAACAAGTGTTGAAAAGGATATAGAGAAAAAGTAGTCCTTGTATTTTGTTGGTAGAAATGAAAATTATGCCAACTATTATAAAAAACAATATGGAGGTTCCTCAAAATATCAAAAATTAAAAATATATTAAAAATTGAACTACCCTATGATACAGCAATCAAATTTCTGGGAATATAGCCAAAGGAATTGAAAATAGTATATAGAATTGATATCTGCATATCTGTATTCACTGCAGCATTATCACCGATAGCCAAGATATGGAATAAACCTAAGTGTTCACTGGTGGATAAATGGATAAAGAATGGAATGGATAAAGTATCTGTTCATACGGGAAACACTGAAAAAGAAAATCTAATAGAAATAGGAAGTAGAATATTGGTTTCCAGAAACCGAAGGAGGAGGGGTGACGTTGGACAGAGGATACAAAAATTCAGTTTGATAAATTGTTTTTGAGATCTACTTTAGGGCATGATGTCCACAGCTCATAATAATGTAGTACATTTTTCAAAATGGTTAATAAAAAAAATTACAAGTCTCATTACAAAAAATGAGGTGATGAACATGTTATCTTGATTCAACCATTCCACATTTTACATGTATACCAAAATATCATATTATACCCCATAAATATAAAACTGTTTCAATGAAAAATAAAAAAAACCCAGAACTTTGAGATGAAGATACACTTGAAATTTAAAAATTCAATGCTTAGATGCAGCTGGGAGATGGATTTATAAAAACTGCTCAGAATTCATCCAAGAGAAGACAAAAAGAGAGGTTTGGAGACAGAGAGCATTTTAATGGTAAGTTCCATCGTTTATCTAATCTGAGTTGTATGAGAAGAGAATAGGAAGGAGGCAGTATTTGAAGAGACAATGGTGAAGGTTCTCCTTATTAGATGACACCCACCAGTAGCCACATTTGTTTCAGGCAGCTAAAAACAAATCCATAGCTAGAAATAATGTAGGGAAACTTCAGAAAACACATACCTACAGGCAGGGGTGAGGAGGGAGGGAGATAAAGAAAGAGGAAGAGAGAGGGAGCTAGAGATATTAATCTTAGCAACTGAAGATAGAAAGAAAAGTATTCTAAAATAGATTTTCTAAAACAGAATATTAGACCAACAACCAACTTCTTAGCAGAAATAATAGCAGGAAGACAGTAGAATTAATGTCTTCAAAATGCTGAAAGAAATAAAATTTTAGACACAACAAACATGATTTCAAAAATGTAGTTGTGTTAAATAAATTTTCAGAAAAACAAAACCCCAAAGTTGGTATCAATTAAAGGATCTGGGACTGGCAAACTATAATTCAAGGGCCAAATCTGGCCCATGGCCTGTTTTACAAGTTTCATGAACTGAGAATCATTTTTATATTTTTAAGGTGTCATGAAAAGAAAATCAAAAAACAAAGAGTAACATTTAACAGAGTCCTGAGAGCTTGGCAAAGCATAAAATATTTACTATCTGTCCCTTTAATGAAAACATTTGCCAACTCTTGAAGCAAAGAATATGCTTTGGGAAAAGAAGAGTGATCTCAGAAAGTTTGAAATGAGAGGAACAAGGAGTAAAAAACTGAAGGCTAACAGGTGGGTAAATACAAACAAATATTAGTTATGTAAAACAGCAATATCTAATTTGTGGGTTAAAACAAGAGGAAAAAGGAAGGAAAACTAAAATACTGAACAAAAATCTGGAGCAGTGAGGAGGACACTTAAATGTGAAAGGATTTGTCTTCTTCAGAACGAAGGTAAAGATATTAATTTTGACTCTAACTAAATATTGGTGTTCAAATGTCTTTGGTAATCATTATGAAATAGAGAAATACCATATAAAACTTCTAAACAACTAAAGTGGAAAAAATGAAAAGGAGTGTGTATGTATGTGTGTGTAAAATGTAAACTGAAAACATAAGAACATGCATACTGACAATTTTTCTACACCAGAAAATGAAAAGTAACCCAACAGTATAGGAATAAATAAATTGTCATGTTATATCATACAATGCTGAAAATAAAGGAACTTCAACTTGGAGGAATCTAATAAATATACTGTTAAATAAGAACAACAAAGTTTAAAAGATTGAAATAAAATTTAAAACATGAAAACATAGTGATTTGGAATATACATACATAAAAATGCTATAAAGAAAAATAAGGAAGCAACAATACAAAATTTCAAACATGGTTACCCCTTAGTGTGAGACAGAATAGAAGTAGTGGAGGGATATTCACAGGTCTTCAAAGGAATTGCTAATATTCCTTTCCTAGGCTAGGTAGTAGGTAGTATACAGGGATCCACTTTATTACTTTTCATTATAACTTATCTAGATAATAACTATTTTTAAATACATATCTTTATGAGCATAAAATACTAAAATTTAAATATAAATCATTCTTCCATTTAAACCATTACTTGAACTAAATTTTCTAAAGATTAAGGCAAACAATTTTACAAATTTGCCAAAAGAATGTTCAGTACTAAGTAATGCTAGTCATCTTTTATAGAACTATGGGATTATAAAATATCAGAGAAAAATCCAGAGCAGATGATACTTGATATATAATGGAATATATGTCCGTATAAACAGGATTACCCGAAGGCCAGTTTTAAGAATTCCCTTCAACTTGAACTAAATGTAATGTTTCATAAATGTACTCTACTTGCATCCAAGTAGATGTGTTGATTTTCCCCACGGCAGGCTTTGGGAACTTAGCCAAGACATACTACACATTATCTTTTCTCTTCACAGACATACTACACATTATCTTTCTCTACATAATTCAGATATCCTTTGAAAATAACTTTAAATTTCAGATGAATTTAGAGTTAATAGCAAAAGCTTTTCTGTAAATGAAAGGGGAAAATAGAAATACACCTATCAAGGAAAGAAACACTCTGCCAAATTTTAGTGCTTTACAACGTGTGTGTATAATAGCTGTATAGCTAACAGTCAGATATGCCAAGACAGCAACCACTAAGCAATTTTAAAATAAGTTTAGGAGACTAATCATAGCTGATTTCATAGTTTGGATTACATTTACTTTTCCACACTGACAAACCAATCTTCTCAAAATGGAGTTTTCAAATAAAAATGGACATTATTTTGTCCCTATAACAATAGTAGTAAAAAATCAGGTCCTTTATTTGTTGAAAATTGTACATGGAATCATTAGGTGGTCATGGGCTCAATCTCAGGGATTGTATATAGCTTGAGTATTATGAATTACCAGTGAAATATTTTTTTTCCCCTGGCAGCACTGTCTGTCATTGAGCCAACAAAAAGGATAGAGTGCGTGTGTGGTATAGGCAGAGATGAATGCTATTCTGGGATCAATCTGAGGTGCAGGCAGTATTGTATAGTCAGGAAATTAACAGACTCTGGAAAACTTGCTATAATAGAAATGATTATACAAGGCTCCAAAAATTTGAGGTTGAGACATCAGCCATGTTGATGAAAGGGCTCTTCTAAGGGTTTAAAATGCATTATTAGCCCACACCTATTTAATGCCAAACACAGAATTTCAGTTAGACAAGACTGTGAAGTTTATCTAGTTTGTTTCTTTAATGCTTTAATCTCTAGTAGAACATCTGAAAAAGTCTGCACTTAACTCCCATGAGTTTAAACTTACACTGAAATTTGTCTTCAAATATATTATCTCCTCTGAATCATAATATATTGCTGAGAACTGAAGGTTATGGTTATAAATATTACTGTCAACTTACAGAGGAAGATAAGAGAACTGTGCTATCTGATATTGTAGCCACTAGCCACATGACCTAAAGCATTTGAAATGTGGCTAGTTCAATTTGAGACATACACTTTATAAGGTGTAAAATATACTAGATGATTTAAAAGATTATGAAAATAATATACCATTAAAAACTTTCTACTTTTTTCAAACAGATCTCCCTATATTGTCCAAGGTAACCTCAAACTCGTCATCCTCCTGCCCCAACCTCCCCAGTAGCTGTGATTACAGGTACATGCCACTATGTTCAGCCAGCCATTAATTTCTGCACTGATTACATGTGTAATATTCTAGATATAGTGGGTAAAAAATGTTAAAGTTTAATTTCACCTGTTTTTGAAGTTTTTAGATGACTACAATATTTAAATTGATATTTGTGCTCATATTATATTTCTACTGGACAGTACTGAATTAGCTCCCTCTGGTAGTACTAATTCATGGTGAACACATAGATGACTAAAAACTCTTAAGTCATAATTCTCCCTTCCAGATATAACAGTCTATCATTTTAAGACTTTATATTCAATTTTAGCTTGCTCAACTGGGCCCATAAATCCAATCTATTAAATAACATTTGGATCTAAACACAACCTGACATATAACAGGTGCTCAATAAATGAAGTCTATTATCCACAGCATTAAGGTATCCTTCTCAGCTTCATGTGCCACATAAAAACAATGTGCTTGCTTAAATCAATGTTCTCATTCAAGTCCAACTAGATATCTTAATTCTTTAATGAAGACTCTCTGAATAGACTTAGAAACTTTCATGCTTCTTTTGTCCTTTATACATAGGGCTTCCATTGCACTGCTTTAGATTTACATATCTCCTTGAGGGCAGGGTTTTTGCTTTTGTATTTTCCTGGCAACTACTATGCACTTAATGAATATTTGACAATTGCATGACATCAGTCAATAGTACTATTATCATTCCACTCACATTTCTATCATACTCAAAATGACAGCTTTAGGTTCTGAAAACTGTTCCACTGAAATTCAAAATCAGTATTTTCCTAACAGTCTTATAATAAGAATTGCCTTTCTGATAGGAATGTCAAAATCTCTCAATGCAATATACTTTGCATAGTTTTCTCTTAAGAGTTCATATCCCATTTGAATCAAATGTATGATATGTCAGGATCATTGTACTGTCTTGAGCAACTAAAAAAAAAAGACAAGAGGCATGAAATTTGAGTGCTATTAAACCTGAAGGTTCTAGGATGAGAGACTAGGAATGTTTAGTAGGTTTAACTAGATAAAAAAATAACTTCAAAGAGATTAATTTATTCTGAATCCTCAAGACCAAACTAATGGAACTCATCTCTTTCAGAACTGTTTTATCTACCTTCTTGAAAAAGAAGCACAGGAAAAGAAAAAAAAAGTATAAGCATAGGGTCTAGATCCTATTTTTTTCATTTCCTAATCATGCAAATCCCTGAACTTTTCTGAAGCAGAATATAAATTCTGAAAGAAAAGCAACTGTTTTGTTTAACTGCATTTGTAATGCCTGGCTTAGAATACGATGTGATCACTATATGCTAAAATAATACAAAATCTAATTTTTTCCTAGGTAATTTGGAGATCTACATCGCCAACTCCCAGGTCTGAGAATCATTCAAGACAATGCATGTCACTATAAACCATAATGGAATAATACAAATGCTTTCACTTGTTCTCTTTTCTCAGTGAGTCATTTTCCCCACTTCTACCCATTATCTCTGTCTTTCCTTTTTCCTAATTTGTTCTCCCTTCTTGACTTTCTCCCAAAACATGTTTTAACTGATCATAAGCTAGAGATAAACATTTTTCAAAGTCTGTGTTTACATTTACCAACGTTAAAATAATGAAGCAGGAAGTTTTTTTCACCTGTAGGGGGCTGTTTTATTCTATTACTGGACTACATGAGAGAAATTATTTCTCCTTGGTCTTTTTCAAAAGTATGTTACATTATCTTAATTATATGACTTTTTATCATCCTAATCCAATTAGGATGATAAAATTAGGTCAAGGGGCAAATGTAGCCTAAAAGTTACAAACTCCTACCCCTACCTAATAAGACAATGTGGGGTAGCCTAAGAGTTCTCATGTTTTACTCAAATAACAACAAACTAAAGCCTTAAATATATACTTCCCTTTAGGATAAATATGAATGCATACTAATTTTGTATAACTACACATTTATTGTACTATAAAATGCTAAATTGCATTCTGATGACAAAACTGTTCAAGATATGAAACTTGTCTCTTAAGTGAAAGAGGAAATAATGTTTATAACATCACTTTAATAATAGTTATTTTAAACCTTTGAAAATTGGGGACTGCCAAACTACCTCATTGATTACTTCTAATTTGAGAAATATAGTTCTATGAATAATATCCCGATCAACAAAGGATTAGCCATAGATTCCAGATGGTTAAAGCTTCAATTATTTAGGCTCTTACATGTAGTAGCTTTCCCGTAAGAAAACACTGTGTGCTCACCACAAAGCAATCTTACTCTGGTGTTAAATATGGGGCTACAACTATCATAACTACCATTATCAATGATAATTAAAACATATACAGATTGCAATGTACCAGATGGCATCTAGAAATTTTATACACACTAACTCAACATATCCTCAAAAAGTCCTTTTGAGCATTATATTCTAATGATTATAGGAGAGGATAAGTACTTGCTCAAGATTGTGCAGTTGTTCAGAGGTACAACCAAGCAGAAGTAAAATACCCAGGTATTTTGGCTCTAGAATTTATGCTCTTAAGGGCTATGCTGACCTGCCTGCTCACTTAAATACGATCCCATATCTCATATACTTTAGATATATATTTTAAATGTAAAAAGTGAGAACAAATTAATAAGAAAACTGAATATCATGAAAGTTGTAAATTCTCCGGGAAGACTTTTTAAGCTCTCAATATGACCTTATTTCCTATGTAAAAGCAGAATATAGAAAAACTGCAATTAACTGGATTTGAACTTTTTCTGTGCATTCCAATATTCAGTTATTCGTAGCCTTTAATTACCACAATATTTCATTTCTACTCATAGGCAAAAAAGGAACTTCATACTCTACGTTTTCATTTATATAATGTTTGCACAAATCTCAAGCATATATTACTGGGAATATCCTTCTCTGTGGGTCTTCATATTTTTTTTGCAAAATTCAATATACTTTCAAAGTTTAACTTTGTATAAATTTCTTATCAGTGAAATATTTTCACTATCATTCAGTGTAGTTTGTGCACTAACCTGAAATGTACATGTGCCAATAACCACATAATTATTGCCACCATATGCAATTAGATTTCCTGAATCCCCACTGTCAAAGGGATTAAATTCTACCACATGTACATAATCATCGCAATCCACAGTGTAGGCAGCATTTCTTGTGGGATCTTGCTTCATCTTGTATGTCAAAACTTGAGCAGTTGTAGAAATAGAATATTTCTACTGCACAATGTCGCGAAACTGTGGATGATAGCACAGACATAATTAGAAGTGGTCAGTGTTAGTCATTTAACAGATGATTCAAAATAAGGTTTGGTATTGCATTGTCAAAGGCAGATCCCCAAAAGCATTTAGAGTACTTATCAAGGGACAGAAGATACAGGGAAAAAAACCCTCACTTTAACTATTTATAATTAAGCACTGTTCTACAGCTTTCCTCTTTATCATATTCATGATACCCACGTATATAACATCATAAAATTGTGTCTAGATTAATTAAAAGATACACTGAGTACTTAAAGATGGAATCATCTTATGGCTTGGGGACATAGCTCAGTTGGTAGAGTGCTTGCCTCATATGCACAAGGCCCTGGGTTGGATAAAAAAAAAAAAAAAAGGAATCATTTTAAAAGAAAGTATATTCATAAGAAATTAATAATAGTTAAAAATTTATGAAACAGTATTTGTAGGTACCTGTTTAGCATTTTACTGGCATACCCCTAATATTCACACTAACCTAAAAACAGGTAATACCTGTTGGGGCTGGGGATGTGGCTCAAGCGGTAGCGCGCTCGCCTGGCATGTGTGCGGCCCGGGTTCGATCCTCAGCACCACATACCAACAAAGATATTGTGTCCGCCAAAAACTAAAAAATAAAATATTAAAAATTCTCTCTCTCTCTCACTCTCTCTTAAAAAAAAAAAAACAGGTAATACCTGTTGATCCCATTTTAAAAACCAAGGCATCGAGGCTTTAGGTGGTTAATTTGTTAAGCTCATAAACAAAAGCCAGGACTTGAAAGATTTTATTGTGTTGGGCACTAGTGCTAGAGGAAACAAAACAAACAAACAAAAGATGGCCTCTTTCCTTGAAGGAAATCACCAACAAGGATAGTTATGACTAGGTGTGAAAAGTGCCATAATATAAGCTGATATAAAATACAGATCCTGGAGGATCTAGAGGGCCAACATGTGTGACTGATTTACAAAACTGGGCACAAAACCTCAACTAACCTGTCAGGACTTAGAGTGCACTCTGAAAATAGCATTCCTGCATGAGAATTATGAATTTTAAAGAGCAAAAATATATATATTTTTTAAAAAACATAAGACACAAGAGCTGGAGTTGCAGCTCAGTGGCAGAGCACTTGCCTAGCATGTATGAGACACTGGGTTTGATCCTCAGCACCACATAAAAATAAATAAAAATATTATCCATCTACAACACACACACACACACACAAGAACTGTTCTGAAAACAGCTGGACTCCGCAATGAAAACAAATATCTGGGGGCCAGGGTTGTGGCTCAGTGGTACAGTGCTTTAGCATCCGTGAGGCACTGGGTTGGATCCCCAGCACTACGCTAAAAAAAAATAAAATAAAGTAAATAATAATAATAAGGGCATTGTGTCCATCTACAACTAAAAAAAAAAAATTAAAAAAAAAAGAAAAAACAAGTGTCTGAGTCTGTACTGAGAATGAGATAAGTCTTACCCCTCAGAGAGCTTATATACTAATAACCTTAATGAACGCGCATCCAGGACTGGACACGTGTTAAGGGTAACCAGCAGGTGAGAAGTCCTCCAATGCAGAGAGAGATGCAAGTGCCAGGGTTTGGAGATCGAGACTCGGTACCTCACCTATTGCTCTTGAAAGCCTGGTGCCAACACACTCACAGGGCTTCACTGTACCCGGAGAAGCCCACTCAAGTCACAGAGTGGAAAGGCAGATGAAGAGGGAAGGAACAAGGTAACTCCCAAGCCTCTCCCAGAGCCAGGTGCGTCCCGTGACAACCCGCCTCCCTGAGACCGAGATCAAAGGGAAGAGCTCCTGGGGGACTGGGACAGGGTTAGGGTGGACCCGCAGCGATCGGCGAAGGCCCCCTGGATCGCCTGCGCGCTACGCACCGGAGAAGGCGGGGAAGCGACCTGGAGGGAGCTGGTCTCTGTTGCGGGCTGCAGCGGGACGCGGGCCTCTGCTTCCGGGTCGAAGGGCGAGCGCAGCGATTGGTTCCCGAGCCCTCCCGCGATATTTGAAATGTAACCCGCAGCTACTGGAACAGCGGTCAATCTGTAGTCGCGAGGGGCCTTACCTCCCTGAGATTTGCACCTCCTGGGTCTTCTCTGAGCTGAGTGAGTCTCGCTTTCTCCTTGCCCGCCATTCCTGCTTTGCGTGACGATTCAAAATTCGGCTTGTCTGAGCGTTTCGGTGACAGCACAGTGCTAAGTGACCATCTGGGGTTTTGTGTAGTGGCTTTCTCTGAAGACTATTGGGTCAGCAGGCATTGGACAGAGTTCACAGTATTTTGTGCTGGAGCTGAAAGATCCCGAGGGATCCTGCAGATTGGAAGATTGAGGTTCATGGAGGCTTGCTTAAAGTCCATTAGAAAGGCAGGAAATCAGGATTCTAGTTCTACGATGTAGGCAGACTCCAATTCCACAATTCCCCTCTTTCCTTGTTATTATTTGCACCCAAGGAACATTTAGGACCTGCCTTCAGATAATAACAGCATCAACTGCCATTTTTATTTAGTACCTACTAAATGCTCAGCATTAAGTGGGTTGTATAATTTTTTCATTAATGCCTAATCATTTTATTAGGTAGAAATTATCTTACCCTTTCTGCAGATGCTCTTAAAAGATTTTAAATACCCCAAAGCGTAGAACTAACCAATAAGGGGTCTGAGTATGAATTCGGCTGTATCTGAATCCAAAGTATATTCCTATCAACCATCTCACTTTGCCTCCCAGTGAGAATTTTCTGTTTCATAATTTTGCTCCAGTGCACCTTGGAGTAGAGTTTTTAAAAATAAGTGTTTATTACTAAGGCCACATTCTAAGGCTCTTTTTGTACAGTGTAGCCTGCAAAGTGCTTGCACATAAAATCTCTCATTGACTCCTCTCATTGACAACTGGCTGGAAGGTAAGTTGAAAAATTAGATTTTCAGTGTTCTGATACCTCTACTGGGCAGCCAGGTGTAAAACTTATTAACTAGGTTCACACAGCCACTGGAAGAGCTACTAGAAGAACAGGAACTAGATCAGAGGTTGGCAAACCATTTGCACTTCCTGTTCTTGTACAGTTGGCTTCTGAACTAACAGTGGACTTTACATGTTTAAATAGTTGGGAGAAAAAAAATGAAGAATGTTTTGTGACGTGCAAATTATATGAAAACACAAATTTCAGTATCCATAAATAAAATTGTATTGGATCACAGCTATGCTCATTTGTTTATATTTTGTCCACGACTATTTTCATACTATAAGGTAAAGTAGTTATGACACACATGATATGGCCTGCTTGTCTCAAATGTTTACTATTTGTTCTCTCCAAAAAATTTGCTGACCCCTAGATGAGACTCTTGGTTGGTGTTCAGTCACCATTAGTGTTTTTCCCCCCTTCTTCTTATCCTTCTCTCTTGGTATTTTGGAACTGAGAATTTAGCCTAGTGATGCTTCCAGCTCTTATCCTTATTTTGCGACAGTCTTGCTAAATTTGCGGAGGCTGGCCATGAACTTGCAATCCTTCTACCTTAGCCTCAGGAGTTTCTGGGATTGCAGGTGTATACCACTGTGCCCGATGTAATGTTGTTTCAATTTTAACTCAAAATAACCTACAGCCAGGCAGGGTGGCACATTCTATCATCCCAGCAGTTCCAGAGGCTGAGGCAGGAAGATTGCAAGTTCAAGGACTGGAAATGGAGCTCAGTGGTAAAGTTCCCCTGGTTTCAATCCCCAGTACCCAAAACAAGCAAAAATGACTTAGAATCTCATAATGTGTGATAATAGGTTATGTGCTTTTTTATGTGCCAAGCACTGTTCCAAAAGCTTTGTGTGTATTTATGTCATTTTCTCATTACTCTCACAAAACCCTACACATAGGAACTATTTTTACTTTCAGTTCAAGGAAACTAAGGCAGGACAAGTGATATAAGTTGGCCAAGATCCCATAACTAGTAAGTAGTTGGAGCCAGGATTCAGAATGATCTAATTCTAGATGAGTTTTCACTTACAGGAATCTCAACTCATAGTATCTTTAAAAAAAATACCAGTAAGGAATCTGCTGAAATTTTATTTCAAGTAAACTGATAATATCACTGGTGCTGATGTGTTACTTCTGGTGGTATTTTGAAGAGAAATATAACTTAACTATGTATGGTCTGCTACCTGTAATTGTATTACAGATTATGTCTGTAATTTAAATTATTATTTTGCAGATGGCATATACCCTTTTTCTTCATTGTACAAACCTTAGGTATCTAGTAAACATCTGGGATTCTGTTTATGCTTCATAAGAACAAAAGGATAACAGAGGAGTCAGTAAATAGGATGTGTATGGAAAATACCACATGTGAAGAATGTGTTGGAGACGTGGGTAGTTAAAAGAAAATGGGAAAAAATCTTAACAGGCATATTTGTAAACTCAGAGAAAGGAATTGGCTGCCTTGTGTATATAAAACATTGGCACGACATTAGGTTATTTTGAAGGGCTTTTGTCAGCATGAGAAGAAGTTATGAAATATAGTGATTTAAGAGTCCAGCTTATGGACTTAGAAATCTATATTTATGCCTGTTTGGCCATTTACTAGCTGAGTGACATGTGCATTATTTTCTTCAGGTGTGAAATGAGGATAATAATAGGCTTTACCTTGATATGGTACTTTTAGGAGTTGAGTGGGGTAATCAATATTAAGCTTTTGAAAAGTATCTGACACCACATAATTCCTAAATGTTAGCTCTTTCATTGGTTGTCTATTGCTGTGGCAACAAACCACCTCAAAATTTGTGACTGTGAAATAATAAACTTTTTTTTTAGTTGTTCTGTAGGTCAGCAGTTTGGTACTGTACTCAGCTAGGTCATTCTCCTGCTGGTCTTATCTGAGATCACTCATGTTGCTGACATTCATCTGGCAGGTTGACTGAGGCTAGGTAGTGTAAGGTCACCTCCCTCATTCACCTGTGAGTTGGTATAAGTTTCACATGGAGTGCTGTGGTTCTCTGTCATGTGTCCATTTCAGGAGGCTAGCATGAACTTTTTAATACAGCAGTCTCAGGGCCACAATATAGTGAGAGGTCCTCAAGACCCAGAATGGATGATTTGTTAGGAGGATTCAAAGTACTCAGCATATAGTCATAGTCATGGATATAATTTATTACAGCAAAAGGATACAAAACAACAGTGCAAAGGAAAAAGGAATATGGGGCAAAGTCCAGGGAGACCAGGTATAAGCTTCTAAAGGTCCTCTTCCTCAGGAATCAACCAGAAACAGGTGACAACACACATGAAATGTGTCTATTGGGGAAGACTTTAAATTAGAGACTTAGTGCCAGGTTTTGTTTTGTTGTTGTTGTTGTTATTTTGTTATTTTGTTTTTTAACTGGGGGCTGAGCACATAGGTGTGCTCTGTCTGGCATTTACCAAAACTCCAGACTCAGAAGGAGACCAAATGTTCGTCATAAACTATATTATTTGTACAAATAGTTTAGCACAGTGAACTACTTTTATTGGAAACCCTCCTGAAATCTAAGTTCCCAGAATCTAGCTGCCAATGTTAGCAGTCATTCTTGATGCATTAACTCTTCTGCACCTCCTAAGGCCTTGTCTTCAAATTCCCATATGTCATTCTCATCACATGATATTGGTAAAATTAAGTCACAAGACTGGCACAGATTCAAAGGGTTGAAAAATAGACTACCACTTTTGGAACAATATAGAGATGGGAGGAAATTGGCTTTTCCCATCCTTAAACTACCATCCATCTCAAAATAAATATTTTTAAAATACAGCTTTAATTAGTTATGTCTGCGTCTTTAATTATAAGTTTACAGAATTCATGTTTTTTTGTGAATTTTCAGAATTGAAGGTTGAATTTGATTATTTCAAAAGATTTGGCTTAAGAAAACTAAAGTAGAGGAAAATATGATTGAGCAGAAATTGTATTATTCTGTTTTCCTGAATTTAATTAACAACAATCTTGGTAAATATGAAATACTCTCTCATTTACTACTTCCCCCCTCCTTCTAACTGTGCTTGCTTACACATGTTAAATGTTAATTTCCAATTAAAATAAGGCACTTTAACATTGTATTCTGTCCTACTTTAAGGGAATGGCTGTGCTTAACCAGAAGTCTGTCTTGGACATGATTAAAGCATTTAGAAGGAACTGGCATGTTCTTTGTGATTCTGAAAGAACTACTCTGTGTGGCGCAGACTCCATGCTCTTGGCATTGCAGCTTTCCATGGCAGAGAACAATAAACAGGTTAGTAAACTATATTTAGGTTGACTCTTCTATTTTTTTCTAAATAAAAATAAGGCCTTTTATTTGCTGCCCATTTATATATACACACACACACACACACACACACACACACACACATATTTTAGTCATAGACACAATACCTCTATTTATTTACTTTTATGTGGTTCTGAGGATAGATAGAATCCAGTGTTTCACATGTGCTAGGCAAGTGCTCTACCACTGAGCTACAACCCCAACCCCAGGTCTTACATGTAAATCTTCAACCCATTTTGAGTTGATTTTTTTAAATGATCTGAGATGAAGGTCTGTTTTCAGTCTTCTGCATGTGAATATTTAATTTTCCCAACATTGTTTATTCATTCTTTCCCTGTCATGTGTTCTTGGCATCACTGCTGAAAGGCAAATTGACTATAAATGTGTGGATTTATTTCTAGGTGCTTGCTCTATTCTCTTGCATTATCAGGTGTCTGTTTTTAAACCAATACCATATTGTTTTGATTACTATACCTTTGTAGTATATTTTGAAATTAGATAGTATGATGCCTCCAGCTTTGTTCTTTTTGCTTAAAGATTGCTTTGGCTATTCAGAGTCTTTTGTAGTTATATATATATACATTTTAATATTTTCTCTGTTTTTGTGAAAAATGCCATAGAATTTGATAGGGATTGCATTGAATGTGTAGTTTAATTTGGGTAGTATGCACATTTTTAACAATATTCTAATTCGTGGACATGGGATTATTTTCCATTTATTTCTATCTTCAGTTTTTTTATATTTTATTAAATATCTGTTCATTGAAACATTTAATAGTTTCAATGAACAGATATTTAATAAATTAACTTCTAAGTATTTATTATTTTTGTAGCTATTTTCTTTATTTTTGGATAGTGCACTGTTAGTATACAGATTACATTACAGATTTTTGTACATTTTTAAAATTTTATATTCTTCTACCTTACTGAATTCATTTATTAATTCTGACAATTTTTTGTGGAGTCTTCAGGGTTTTCTGTATATTAGATTATGTCATCTCCAAACAGAGACAATTTAACATTTTCCTTTGTAATATTTTTTTTAAATTTTTATTGTTGGTTGTTCAAAGCATTACATAGTTCTTGACATATCATATTTCACACTTTGATTCAAGTGGGTTATGAACTCCCATTTTTACCCCGTATACAGATTGCAGAATCACATGGGTTACACATCCATTGATTTACATATTGCCATACTAATGTCTGTTGTATTCTGCTGCCTTTCCTATCCTCTACTATCCCCCCTTTCCTCCCCTCCCCTCCCCTCTTCTCTCTCTACCTACTGTAATTCATTTCTCCCCCTTGTTTTTTTTCCCTTTCCCCTCACTTCCTCTTGTAGGTAATTTTGTATAACCCTGAGGGTCTCCTTCCATTTCCAGGCAATTTCCCTTCTCTCTCCCTTTCCCTCCCACCTCTCATCCTTGTTTAATGTTAATCTTCTTCTCATGCTCTTCCTCCCTACTCTGTTCTTAGTTACTCTCCTTATATCAAAGAAGACATTTGGCATTTGTTTTTTAGGGATTGGCTA